ACATCTCATTCACCCACGGGGGCTTCTGATTAATTAAACACGAGATGTTACTTATGCTACAATCTTAGTAAACGAGTCTTAAACAGAAACTGTTGTCATTATTTCTTCTCTCTCTCTCTTTTTTTGGAATTATCCAGAACGCCACATGGCTGGCTTGTGAGCTTATTTTCCAGATCACTGATACCAATGCGATTTTGTGTTTGTGTGAGTGTGTGTTTTGTTTCAAAAGACATCAGCTTGAAGCAGTTTCAAATCTCTAGCAACAATTTCTTCAGGAGTATGTCATACATGAGCTATTGACCACATTTTTGCCAGGTCACTTGTCAAATGTTTGGTAGGGAGATGTCAAGTTTTGGGTCAACCACAGTCCACATTTTTGAAACTGCTTACAAAATGATGTAAGAGTTCTGTGGATCTTATCAGGCACTTTAGAACCATCCAGAAACCTCTGTTCTTTATTATTAGCATACTATAGTCTCCAAAGAATGTTCCATAGGTCCTTTTTTTAAAATATGCTTCCTAAATTTTCTCAGGAAATTCCATGTGCTTGAAATACTTGTTTAAACACAATTCAGAACTGCAGGAGGTAGAAGTCTGCTGTGGGTTAGTGTGAAGTTAACTTTTTTTCATGGGAAAGGGTCAAAATTAATGAAGAAACTAGCAAATTCAAAGTTCCACTGAGGAACATCTCAATGCTTTTAGCAATTCACTTGAAATGTAGGAGGAAAACCACCCCTTTAACATTTTAAAGCTTTGAAGGCCTAATGAACCATGCTACCTCCTGTAGTTTCTACCAAACCAAAATTTGTGCAAGGACTGGGCTCATTAGCATTAAATGGAAACAGATCGCTCAACTCTTGCAATAGTGTCTTGAAATGTTTTCACCATTACCCTTGTATTTGGTTGATGAAATATTGCTTTCTCAACTGTTACTTCATATTTCTTATTGTTGTTAATGTGACTGTAAAATGTTGATTTAAAGTCCCGTAGGTTAAATGGCCCTCTCTCCAAATGACAAAAAAGCATTTTCTTTTAACATGTCCAAAATATATTCGTTTTTCAACAAGGTAGGTTCTTGAAGCAAGTTGGTTCTTATTATATTTTAAGTGTTTCCTATTCCTTTTATATGTCCCAAACTAAATAAGGAAGAAAATTAATAATTAGAACATACAGAAAGTAGAATATTAGGTATATAGATAACTTGGTGTGTTTTTTTCTGAGTCATTACAATAGAGGTTACTATGTTATCAAAATAGTATCAATTCAATTAATTCAACTGCTTTTAAGATTTTGATATCTCATAATTTTAGGGGAAATTTGTGTTGCAGTGACAAACCCCTACATTATTTAGACCACACCCTTCTAGGTTATCTAATTCGAATTCTATGAGGATTTTACCTTCCATTTCCTTTGAACTATTTTATAAAATGTAAGTAAGTGATACTAAGGCAAAATATACAGGGTGCGGGGGGGACAAAGGTAGGTTTACAGTTGTTCATATAGAAAATAATACAATAATTAATAAATAATAGAAATAAACTATTTTTCAAGTACTCACAACTGTTAACCTACGTTTGCCCCAGGCTGTATCTTGTCTAGAGACATGTAAATAAATGCTGCTGGTTAAAGATTCAATTGAATTCTTCTTCCTTCTCTGGAAAAAGGAGTTTTGCTCCATTAGCAAATGGATTTCAATATTCTAAATCTATGAATGTGTCCTTTATTTGGACTGTCCTTTTATCTGGTTGTAACATCTTACTCATTAATGAATTGTGTTCATTTTGCATGTATTGAAAGTCATGCTTTTCATTTTTTTCCAAACTAAGAAGTTATGTCCACAGGATTCATATTACATCTGTATTTTGACAACAAAATATGAATGTATTTCTTAGGTTGTACATGGTTTAATTTCTAAAATTAGAATCTCCGTCTTGTTCTACTGCCCCAGCACAAGAAGATGAGCATAAAATTAGTATTTTTGACATAAATTGTCTGAAATATCACTCAAAATTAAAATCAGTATTCTATCATGAATTTTAGAAAATGCATTCATTTTTATCTCTGTTTCCCTAAGAATTCTGTTGATTGCAGATGCCTGGGAAATAGTCTTAGTTGATTATCGAAAAGTTGGCAGGCCTTTTGCAGAATGCTATGTTAGAAAGATACATACAATTATGACAAGATTCCCCATTTGGTGCGATGGGTCTAACATTACAAGGTTTGTGTGTCCAAAGGCAAATGCATTGTATGTTCGATGCCCCAAAAGTTTTAGATGAGATATAAAACATGATTTGCCTTTAAATTACATACCCTCTGGAGACATTAGAAAATAGAGGGATAGCATTAAAGAAAAAAAATGAATAAACAAAGTTACTTATATATAAATATAAATATACTTATAGTTGTTTGTGTGGCTAGAGAAGTAATCACATCCTTTTACTGTTACTAAGGAGGCTAATGGAAACAGAAACACATCGGGAGTATTTTGCATTTGCACATTTGGCTTAAATCTGCTGCTTAGTAAAGTATAATCTTCAGCAACTGACTTAAAATTTCTGAATCTCATTTAACGTGCTGTGAAAGTCAAAGTAACAATGCCCGCTAAAGTGCTTTGCCATTGTAAGATGTAAAGAAGAGATAGGTGTGACTCCTGAGGAGTAATTCTAGCTGCCGCATCTGTCTCTGAGGCAAAGCACGTTGCTTAGATGGAAGATTTGGGAGAGTCCTGCTAGCCTTAGTATGATTGTGGGCAGGGCTTTTAGGGAGAAGACTGAAAAGGGTTACTCCTTTCCTCTTCTCCAGCAAGACTGGAAATTATTTATTGAGTCACTTGTCAATCTGTTCTCTTTCCTTTAGAGAAGTGAATTCCTAAGTATTTTCAGTAAGTGAATTATGAGAAAAAGGTGCATGTGGAAGTGAAGGCATCTGCATCTTGGGAAATTCAGGGGATGTACGTTAACATGTTTGGATCAAATTCCACTATCTTGGAAATTTTTCTCTTAAAATTCTTAAATTTCTGCCTGACAGGCTAACGTAAGTAACTATTTTCCAAATACCTGGGTGTGGTTTTGAAGTATGTGTGTTCTAACCTGTCACGTTCAGAGAGAAAATAGCTCTGCTTCCCGTGCTAGCTTACAGGGTCTGAGACTAGATGCTTCTGCTTCCATGTGACTGAGAGAAGGGTAAAAGTTACAGAGGGAGAAATAATGGGCTAGTGGGAAAATCAGATGTTTATTAGCATGTTTTTGTTTTTATAGGGGTAAGGGGTTTTCCCAGAATAGCAATGACACCCATGTTTCAAAATAGCTTATTTCACCAAGCATGGATCTTTTTCATGGTTTTCTGTTTTGTTTATGTGCCACCTTGTTCCTTTTTATTTGGTTGACCATCATAGATGGACAGATTTGGAGAAGAGGGCTTAAATCATTCGTTCAGGGTGGCTCTCATTTGCATATTATAACAATCATGAACTAGGAGCTCTCAGACAAATCATGTTTTGCTTGGAAAGCAGAGTTTTTTAAGAAGATTGCATCTGAATGCCTTAAGGTGGGGTATATGCTCCCTGTTTTATACCCAGCTGTCTTATACAATTATGTTATCTGTCTGAATCCTACAAGCACTTGAGTTTTCAGATACCTAGCCCACCAAACCAACAGGATTTTATCAGCAGTCTCTGTTGCTAACTCTGCTGCTTTTCAGCAGATAAAAGTTCTAAGTAACTGATAATAAAAATCTTTCCAGAAAACTTCTTTAGGGTAGATGTAGTCTAGTTTGTCAGACCTTTTGGAAATCAGCAAGAGAAAAGCTACAATGTGGAGTCCTTCGATACTGTAGCACCCCACATTTTCACCCCGTATTGCCTTGGAGTACCTGAAAGATGTGAGTGTGGTGCAGTGAATAAAACACAAAATAAAGAAGGGAATAGCAGAAAGGTGTTTAAACTATTACTTCTTCCTCTTTTCTCTGAAACTAATAGAGTTTTAAAATAAGTCAAATACATATTTTAATTGATAAACTGAATTTATATTCACCTATTGGAAACAGTACAACATATTTTACATCAGATTATGAAATATGGATGTTTTACTAAAAGACAGGAAGAGTTTTTCCTAGTCTTTAAAGTAAATACATATTCAAAGGATCTTAAGGCATACCATTTATTCATATTCATATCTATTGAAATACTGTACATCCACATACTTCAATAAATAGTTAAAAACCTGACCTCTTTTTAAATCATTTCTGAATTTCAAAAAACAATTTTTATTGAAAAGATTAAATAGGTAACTTTTGGCTGTGTCACAAAGCTAAGCACAATGGATAAATTAACAATTATTCAATAAATTTGATCAATATAGATGATTGGCTTTGATAAATTTCTCAGAGTTTTCTGAATTCACACATTGGGGTATTTATATATATATTTTGTCCTGAATTATCTGGCTAATTTTCTCAGTTCTCCAGTCTACTTTCTAGATATAGTTTAAATGTTATGATGAAGCATTAATTTTTCAGTTAAGTTTTAAGTCCTCCAAGAGTAGCTTTAAGATTGGCGTTCGCTCTCTCAAATCTTTTAGAGTCTTCCCCCCCCCAATACACAATACTATAATTTGGGTAGTACTTTTCATTATATAATTGCTGCACAATAGGAACTTCATGGTGTAACAGGACTTATGTTTTGAATGGGATCACTGTAAAACATAATTACACCATTTGCAATTAAACCAAGAATGCAAATGAATTAAGTCAACTACCCTAAGATTCCAGTTCTTCCTCTCTCCCTCCTGTTCTTGCTCTTGTTTCTTCCCCTTTCCTCCTTTCCTCCCTCCCTTCTTCCCTCCCATCCTTTGTCAGTTTCTCCCTCCCTCCCTTCCTTCTTCCACCCTTCCTTTTTCCCCCACTGTATTTACCTCCTGCCCTTTTCCGTCTTTTTCCTTTCTTTCTACTATCCTTTCTCAACTGCTTTTTATTTTTCTTTCTTCTTTCTTTGAAAAAAAAAAAAATCAGGGGCAACAAAAGGAATCCCACAAATGTAACTTGTGGAAATATAATGCTGAAATGAATAGCTAGAAAAAAATTATTATACATCAAAAGAGAAATCAATTTCATAAAACTGCTATTCTGAAGTCGCAACAATCTTGTACAGTCAGGACTGATAAAATGAAGTAATCAGACGTTTCATATGTCCATAAATGTAAAATCATCTACTTGAACATTATATGCAACACATTCACACAAAAAAGCAAATACTGTAGCCTTATTTGAACAATATTGAACTCATAAATACTCATGATTTCACTCTGTCCAGGGGCCTAAGGACTAGGAATGTTGCTGTGATACAGAAAAACATAGCGAATACCTCCTCCGTTTAAAAATGTCACTCGAGAACATCTCTTCTAACATAAAGGCAAATACATATAGCTACTGAGCTATGACTGTACTTCTGTCACATTCTATGGTAATAACACCAGACTCCACAAATTCGGAATCATGACAACACTTTGAACTAATTATTTGGTTCATCCAAAGTTTATACCTCGATTTACCTCACATTTACCCTACAAACCTTACAAAGAGGAGGTATTTTTAACTCTAGGAAAGCGGTCACTGTATAATATGCATTCTTGATCTGTTTCTTTCTCCCAAACAATGGTACTGATGGTTAACACTTTTGTGGTAGCACCTCTATTTCTAGTAAGTAGATTATTATGGAGTGTGCCACTTTAAAGCTGCAATACAAAACAAAATATTTTGTAATTTACTCACAAATTCCACAAAGAATATTTTAAAAATGCAAGTCAATAATAACCAAGGTTCAAATGCCACTTGTATTTTTAAAACCCCATTTTTAATACATCAGTCAAAATAATGTAATACATTTTTACAGTGAGTAAATTTAATAGCATCATGCCCTATTATTGCCATTTTCTGAAAACATGTATATTTATGCCTCCTCATTTAGAATTCTTTTTTCTAATTAAAATAGACTTAGGGTGCAATTTGGGACTAAGTTTTAGTTGAAAAGAAATCACAATTTTCAAGTTATCTTTTTTGGGGTAAAATATTAGATATCTTAAATATGTATAATTTCTGTGAAATTTCTTGTATCTATCTTTATAAGTTTTTCGTTGTTTTTATGACTTGCAAAGGGGGCTGACTGTCTGCAGAAATCTCTCTAGGTGTAGTGCAATTGGTAACTTTGTCAAACTTGTGAAATGACTTTCAAGGCTACTGTCTTTCATTAGTAAAGAGTAAAACCATCCAACTCTTCCTGTAATATAACACTTTTTAAAGTAACAGCATTTTCCTTCAAAAATGTAGTTTTCATTCTTTATGACAGAAATAAGTTAATACTCATGATAATTTAATAATTAATATATCTTAAGATAGTCTCATCTCTGGTCTTGTCTTTATTTTATCATATCTTACATATACCATGTAAGAAAAAAAATCAAACATGGTAAAAAAAATTTTTGGCCTTACTTATTTGAGCTGACATGGCTATAGAGAAAGATTTTATTATAGAATTAGTTATTTCAGGGATTGATCTGCTGCACACCAGCACAAAATATTTGTTATAATATATTTTGAACAATTTTTTAATATAACATGCACTCCAAACTATCAACTGAGTGATGTTTTCAGGTAAAAAAATATGCAAAATGCTCCTGTCCACAGGGGCACCTTCTCATACCATCTTTCCTGTCACAGAACCAACTTAATTTTGAGTGTTTACCAACTGATGTAATATTAGGTGATGGAACTTTGTGTCCTTTCTGAAAAATCATCTTAAAAATTTTGGCTTGGAATCATGAAAGGAAAAGATCCTGGATTGCTGGGCAATCTCTTGGCTGGACTGTGTTGTCAGTTTAAAGGGAGTTATTTCCCAAAGTGGATTTAACATAAAAAAATAATATGCTAAATGTTCCTGGACTATGTTAATCCAATTGTTTTTCATCACAAAATTGAGTTATTGTGGGGCAGAATTCTCAAACCCCACTGGTAACGAAGAGATTTTTATAGTCCTATAGCTACTTTGCTCTTTAGAGACAGGGTATAGTTTATCATTGTTGTTTATTTTTGCTTTAAACTGTAGGGTTTGGCAAACTGTTTTTATTAAAGTTGAAGATGAAGAGGAAAATATTATTTCATGAAGGCACACCCATGCTGAACTTACAGGAAAGAGAAGCAGAGCTGCACAGCCAGTTATATTACAAGGCTCATTCCTGAAACCTGAATATCATGCGAGCAGAAAAAATCTAGATATGTGTTTATTTTGAAGAAATGATCTGAAGGCAATATTATTTGCTTTTTTTTTTTATCAAAAGAGAGAAAAAAAATGCATCTTTGTCAATGTGGATTGATTCTTATTGAAACGGGGAAATGAATGCTTGTATTGCAGCCTTAAAGAATCACATATTCACTGCAATATTCGTTTTTGTAAACTACAGCCTGCAACCTAGCAGACCATGACTGAATGCTTTTGAAAAGTTGTAGATTACAAACATGAAATCACAATTAATATCCTCTAAAAGTAATTTCAGAGCCTTCACATCTTAAAAAAAAAAGACAATGTACTGCTTCACAAGGTAATGTAGCTAATCAAAAAAAGAGTGGAAGGAAAGTATTTACATAATGAGCAATTCTACAGAAGGCGAGCATCCCCACGTAAGCACTGCTGATTATATCCCACGCTGCTTCTAACAAACTGTACCAGATTGGATCCAGCCATCAGCACTTCCAGAGAATTCTTAAAAGCCTTTCATGGGTCTTTAGATTTAGTGTAGAATGGCATTCTTCAGGTTGAATATGCTGGTGAAAGAGGACAGTGTCAACACAAGGGACCAGCAGGAGAAAAGAAGGTCGGCGCTCCCGGTAATTCCATACTGGGCTGTACTTGGAGCTGGAAAGAAATGGAAAAGACTAAATCAGAATCTAAGCCGAGTCTTTCAGGATCCTCATGATAATCAAAAGGCAGCTGGCTAGTTCGGGGAGAGCACTGGCATTGGAGCCAGACGGACTCAGGCTCGCATCTGGCTCTGCTGTGGGACAATGTGCGGCCTGTTTGACTGACCTCTCTGAGCTCCATTATTCTTTAGGGAAAACAGAGATGATATGACCCTCTTGGCAGGCCTGCAGCGAGGCGTGGAGATGAAGCACGCAGAACAGTGCACTGGGCTGAGCACATGCTAGGTACTTACTACATCGCAGCTAACATTAGTCCTCTTGCATACATTGTAAATATTTGTATTAGTGAGCAATATTAATTCATGAATATTTTTCCAAAAAATTAGTTTTATTGAGATAAAATTGACATTGTGTAAGTTTAAGGTGTACAATGGTGTTGATTTCATGCATTTATATATTGTAATATTATTATCACTGTAGTGTTAGCTAAAACCTCAATTACATCATATAATTATCATTTCTTTCCTGTGGTGCGAATAATTAAGATCTAGTCTCTTAGCAACTTTGAAGGTTATAATACAGTATTGTTGACTGTAATTACTATGCTGTGCATTAAATCTCCAGGACTTATTTATTTGCAAGTTCCAAGTTTGTACCCTTAAACAATAATCCCCAATTCCCCCCTCCCCAGCCTCTGGTAAACACCATTCTACTCTCTATTTTTACATGTTCAGCTTTTTTAGATTCAACATATAAGTGACATTATACATATATACGCGCATATATCTGTGAATCATTTTTATTGGCAAAATACTGTATTAAATGCTGGAAAAACAAGAGATTCTCTCTTCCAACAATTTTTTTTGAAGGTGAGAAAAGATATTCAAAAAGTATAATACAATCCTAGAAATATCAGAGTCGCATGTGCAAAACTGCAATGACACAGAAAATTGTATATTTACATCTGCCTGGGCAAGGGAGGGATGATTTAACAGAGAGTTTTACCAAAGGGGATGGTTATTTGGGTAGAAAAAACAATATATTCAAAAGCATGAGGAAAAGAGAGAGCACAATATATATTCTAGGATCTAAAAGTAAATTAGTCTTGCTGACCATGAAGATTGAGGCCTGAAATTTCTATTTCAGTTCCTTCTGGAACTGAAACTGGGACTCTAGGCAGACAGAATGAGTTTGACTATAATAAAAAAGGACTTCAGCTCTTTATAATAAAGGAGATTTTGAAGAATTTTGAGCTGTTGAATAGTATGATTACATTTATTTACACATAAGAAATATCACAGTTTTATACATGAGAAGCTCGTGTGGAACTTGGCTAACAGACTCGTTGAATTTTCACTGAGAGATTTCTCCTAGAGACTCACCAAGCTTGGGATATTGTGGAAGTCAACTGAACAAATTCCACTTCATTTCACAAGAGAATAGTTACGTCTTTGAATGTGAATTATATTGTGTTCCAGAAATTGAATGTCGCAGACACACTCAACCTTGCCTGAGACTGATTCTCATTTACCATAATAATTATAACAGTAACAATAAAAAAAACCTCGCCGACATAATTTTAACTACTTTTTCTTAATGAAACTTGGATTTCAAGCACTGTTTTCTAATAAAAATAAATAATGTAATAAAAATATATTATTTCATCCCCAAATCCATAACTCAAATTCAGGAGCAGTTTTAGTCACTGAATTTGAATTACCAGCAGGTAGTTTTTAATGGAACTTTCACCAATGACTACATTTCCATGTTACAAGAAGAATAAATTGCTTTGTTTATACCTCTAAGAAATTAGAGGGGATGAAAGATGCATTGGTTCCCTGCCAGTGGGGAGTTTCCTTAACAGTACAATTGTTGGTCCCAGGTGAGTAAGATTCAGGGCTGAAACTACTACTCTAGGATACACAGAGCAAAATCTACTATTTAATGCTTCGCAAATGAGTCCTAAAGTATTTGCATCACAAATGAGTCTTAAAGTATGAAAAGATTATAAAGAAAATATGTCTATATCATTGAACAGACAGCTTTTCAAGTCTTGATACAAAAGAAGTCTAATATAAAACCACAAAACTCCTTAAATTATCTTCTCTTGTTCAAGACCTAGAAAGATGTTGTATGTTTTAAAAATATAAATAAATATTTAAGTGGTCTGTTGGTTTCTTAATGACAGCTATTTCAGAGTTATTTTTGCTGTTGTTTTTAAAGAATCTTGAGTGCAATAAAACCAGTATAACAGTAAAGGGCCAATAATAAACAAAGTGTATAAAATGATTTCATAAATAAGAAATAAATCTTAAAAGCTAAGCACACAAAGCAAGATAAAATTTTATTGTCTTGAGTAATTAAATAGTACATTAAGTGGGTAGAGTATAAAGGACTCTCAAACTCTGTATTCATACTTTAAAAAGCATATTGGAGGCAATCTTTTCTAAATCTCTTCTCCAACAAGCTGAGCAGATTACCCTAGTGTGTCATTAGGCCACCACATTTATTTCTTTTTATACAACTATAACACTGCATTGCAAATATTTCCATACGTATCTATCTTACCAGATTGTAAACTCTCCTAGTTCATGTTTTATTTATCTTGGTGTTTCCAGACACAAAGTCTGGCAAAGTCTGGTACATAGTAGATGTTTAAGAAATGTCTGTCGAGTGAACAATTCAATGAAATAAATAAATAGGTCAGAATTAAGAGGGGTATTTCTCTCTTATAAAAGGGATTTCTTCTGAAGCAAGCCACTTGCCTATAGGCTAGACACTCTTCAATATAGCTCTTCCATTCATTCAGAAAATATGTACTGCACTAGGTACCAGGCACTGTGCTAAGTACTGGGAATACCATAGCTAATATGATAGATATAGTGCTTTTGTTATTTAATTACACACATGGCCATATCTACTTTATACACTCCTCCTTTTTATCAAATACCTTCAATGCCATCTTTTCCCACAATGTGCCTTTACCTTCTACTCAGCCTCATATTGTTTTAGACATGAAAACAATATATTTAAAAATTAAATACTACTTTGCAATTAATGGAGTATATATATTTGTCTATTGATGCTCAAATTGATGTACTTTTTAGTTTTGTGAATGCAATACTTCTATTAGTCCTAAAATAAAGTAGGAACCTGTTGCTGCATTGTCATCAGGTAATTATTATAAGAAATGGACTATAGGATAGCTTTTGGCAATCGGTGGGCAAAAAGACAAAGAGTAAAGGTAGTCAAGGGACTGTGAGGTCAAATAACTAATGTCAAGCCATATATCATGATTCATGCTCTTAAGGAGGTATTGAACGTCTTTTATGTGCTGGGAATCAAACACAGAGAAAGATGAATAAAATTTAATCTCCTCTCTTAGGAAAGTTTCATTCTAGTTGGATATAGAAATAAAAAGGTAAATATAGAACATTAGGGTGTACAGGGTGTCCCAAAAAATGTATATACACTTTAAGAGATGATAGCATTCAATTTTGAAAATGAAATGTAATTTAATAAACACTACCTTTATAACTATTCAAACCGTGTGTATACATTTTTGGAGGACACCCTATATACAGGGAACAAACATGAGAGGGCTCTCCAAAGTAGTTTGGGCAGTAGATATAAATAGAACTATTTTCTACAAAATGTAATGACAAACACATGATAGTATATATGCATCTCACTTTTTAAAATGGTGGCATTATGGTTCTTTGACTTGGGGTATCCTATTACTAGATAACCTTAGTTCCATTGACTGATATTTATTAGGTAAATTTTTGGTGACTTGTTAATACAGTAATTTAGAGCACAAATTTAATGGTACTAAATGTAGGTGTCTCAGTGCTATTTGGATTAATTAGATTTGCTTGTCACACTCAATCCCAATCAGCTATATAAGAGATTACAGGAAATCTTCAGAAATTATAGAAAATAACTGTTAGCTATGAGCAATTAGCGATTAGAAATTAGCTTAAGGCTCGGTTCAAGTACCCTCTCCTTTAAAAGAGGAAACGCTTTCTAAAACCCCACTTGCCAGATTCGTTTGGCATCATATTTGATGTTATTTATATATCTGCCAGATCATATTTACACATCGATTTCCCCCCGTTAGACTGAGGATGTCTTCAAGCCAAGATTTATTATATGTATTTTTACCATTGGTACAGAATAGAACCTGGTACTTAGTAAATGTTCAGTAATATTTATTAAGTGATGATAAGGTTCATATCCATCTCCCACACTCTCACCCTTATAAACACATAAGGGAATGCGATACCTTGAGTACTCTTCTCAGAAGAATATTGCCTTTCGCCATTCATATTTTACCTCCTAAGACCTGTACAGAGTCAGAATACTTCCCTTCAGCATCTGAGCAAGAAGGCAGCTCGTGAGGCAGCCTACGTAAGGGAACAGCATGCATCAGACTTTTTAGCATCATCCTATTGCAGCAAGAGATGGGGAGCGTAGATGAACCCTGGTCCCTAGATATACGTCTGAACTTCTCAGAAGACATCCAGCTGTGCCTTTGGGGTGGTCATATCTTTCGTATGTTCTCTGCCATGTTTTTCGATGCCTATGAATATCATACTGTTTCTCATCCCAAGTGAAATGAGGAGGGACAGGACATGTGAGGGTTTCAATTTCACTCTAAATGACATGGGAAACCTCAGGAACATTTTGAGCAGAGCATATTAGCTGACGGTTTTACATGGTTGCTTAGGTATTCTGTGACCACTAGGGTATACTAGCAGCGGCATGAGTAGAAGCCTATGTTGGCCTGAACCCTCCAGGCGTTTCCATCGGCTACTGAGGGAAGCCAAGTTCTGTAGCTCAGCATCCGGGGCCTCTGTTATCTGGTTCTTGTCAACTTATCCAAACTCATATACACTCTTAGATCCAGTCGCATGAAACATTTTCTGAACACAGAGTGTTTTTATTACTCCCTGTCATTTGTGCATTCTATACCCTTAAGCCTAAATAGTCTTT